ATTCGATAAAATTGTTTTGAAGGATATTTGGAAAGCGTATTTTATCATAAAAAAAAGAAATAATTAAAAAAAACATAAATTTTTTTTTTTTAAACCGAAATTGTTAAGAAGGGAAAAAGAAAAAAAATAAAGAAAACGAGAGGTAATGAAATGAGAAGAAAGAACACGAAAAGGTAAAGAAAGGAAAAGAAAGAAAATGAAAGGGAAAGAAAGAAAAGATAAAGAAAGAAAACGAGGAGGTTAAGAAAGGAAAAGAAAGAAACGAGGAGGTTAAGAAAGAAAAAGAAAGAAAACGAAAAGATAAGAACGGAAAAAGAAAGGAAATGGCAAAGAAAGAGAAAGGAAAGAATAAGAATTGTGGAAGTGAAAAAGAAAAGGAAAACATAATGTAAGAAAAGTTAGAGGAAAGGAAAAAAATGAAAAAGTTAGAAAAATTAAAAATGAAAGGAGGAAAAGGAGGTAGGGGAAGAAAAGGTAAAGAAAGAAATTACAGAGAAGTAAAGGAAACGAGAGACAGGTCGTAAGTATGAAAGAAAATAACGGAAAAGGGAAAAAAACATTGAAAAAAAGAGTAAAAGGTAAATAAGGTAATACGACTAAGGAAATAAATATCTAACAATTATTACAAAAAAAAAGAAAATAAAATTCTGAATTTTCAAATTATTTATTTATTAACATTATATATTTATTTTGTATAGTTGTTATTCATTATTGATACTCATTATTAGGTGAAACCTTTAATAGTTTTCCCCACACCATGCTTTAAAGCGTATAGAGGTATTTTACATTATGCGCTATATAAATTGACAATTATTATAATATATTTTAGATCACGGTGATATGGAAAGGTGATGCTAATACGGCAAAAGAATATGCCCAAAGAAAATAATAATTGAAAGTACATAGGCCTACTTATATATAAATTAGTAAATTCTCAGTACTGTATATGAATGAAACTAGGCCTACAAAGAAATTTTTGATCGTTGGAAGTGCAGCCGTCATTCTAAAGTAGAATTAAATGAAAAAAGACGAACTTGTCGATCTTTATTTGCCAACAGGTATGCCTGCGAGGGCTGCCGTCAGTGGCGGGGCTAGGATTTCCACAAAGACAGGGCAGCAACGTCACACGAGACAAGCAGGGCAGGATTTGGTCGCGTATAGCGCCATCCGAGGGCCGTAGTTAGTCCCAAGCCGGGGAGGGTTTGTGGGGAAACGTGTCCCCCTCCCCAATGGAAAAAAAAATATTTAAAAAAAATATAAAAAAATAAGAACACATCTAGATGTGTATAAGAGACAGATATAATATAATATAATATAATTGTTAGACGCTCATACAGGACATCTTGACTAAAGGATGTTTTTTGTAGCATATGATATCGGCGTCCAAACAATTCATTTATAGGCTTATCCAATTCAGGCCATTTGATTAAACGTTTTAAAATACAGGTATGTATATTTTTTTTTATCCTCCGACGAATCTGTACTACTTCCCCGACTAGAGGGGTGGGCAGAGCCCCAACCTGGTGGGAAGTGGGGTAGCTGTGTAGCCTAAGTATTGTTTGATCGGAACACAATAAGTGAATTGATGTAGGGGCATTGTAATTTCAGTGTAAAGCGAGAATTCAAAAATATGAACGTTTTTAATTAATACAGGTTTCCCTCCAAATAAATACCACTTTTGGGACCGGGGTTTCAATTGTTTTTAGCAGCTTTGGTCTCTAATTGGAATAATGAAAATAAAATTAATTTGAGCACATACAACAATGTGAGGGTTTTAAGCATATTATTGAAATCAATAATACTTTCCTGAAAAATGTAAATACTTCATCTCTCAAGCAAACTTTAATATTTGATAATACTAAAATTCTGTATGGCTCTCTACATTGGTCACAAATTTTTATTTATGGAGGCTTTGGCCATTAGGCGTTTTAAGCCTATTTTAAACACTGGGTTGAGAGCATCCAAGGAGCTTCCATTATTTACTTAATTCTGAATTATAATTATATAACAAGTACTTTTCTTGAAAGCATTATCTACTATTTAAGTATATTTTATTTCACTGAATTATCTTATGTTTATTTCATGTCATGAGACTTTCATTCAGCCAGCATTCCCAGGATTCTATATAATTGTTGAATAATTGTTGATTATTCATTGTTTATTCACAATAAATAGTGATATACTTAATATAAGACACACCTCATTTTTAATTACCTCGTTTTTAATTGGCTAGTTATAACTTTGATTTTAATCTCATTGGTCGGTTTTTATTTGTTTTCTGTTATACTTCTGTAAATATTGTAAATATATATATGGATGGGTGAGATTTTCTCACCAGTATTCTTAAAAATGATCAAATAGATCGAAACGTTGAATCTCAAAATGTCTCTGTCTCTTTTCGGAGTTACTGTCTTTTTGTTTTATTTAAAATTAATTTGGGACCACAGGAAAGTGCTCTTTAAATGGAGGTGGTCTTTAGGTTCTTTAATTAGAAGTCATTACATTGGGAGACCTTTTTCAAGGCCTATTATATCGTAATATAGTAAATATAAAAAAATAAAAAAATAACCATAATATATCAACTGAAAAGCACGCAGATATATTGGTATTAATTAATAATGTGTGGATTTCTACCCATTGTTTTCATACTTAAGCCAAAAAAATAGTTTTTTTGCCATCCTCCACCCGCCCATAACTCACTGAAAAAAAATAGGGGCGGAAAAAAAATTAAAAAAAGGGTTTTTTTTAGCTTTTTTTTTTACAAATTAAAAAAATGTGAGTAAATTTATCTTTATTTTCCAGATTCCCTACAAATTAGTTTAAAGTTGTTGTCTGACGTAAGATATTGCCATTCTAGGCCTCTGTGTGTTATTTTTATTTCATTTGATGAGTATTTAAAAAAAATAAACTTTTTGCACCTGCCCCTATTTATAATTTTTTTAAAAAGAAGGGCAAACAAACAATTTATTTTATTTGGCCTTATAACGCCGATGATTGAGAAATGCAACATTATGTCTAATTTGTCCCCGTGAATGCATAAGCGCCCTCTACAAGTGATACGACGTTTCAAGATAAAATGTGAGACAAAACAGAAATTGCGGCGCACTATTTAAAACAACTTATAGCATAAAGAAAAAATGCTAATAATAAGCAGGAAATAATTGTATTAATATCATCATAGGGACGGTGAAATGAGTGTTCCTATATAGGCTTATAGCCTATTATGTATCAATTTCGTAACCACCAGTAGGCCTATCTATTTTTATATTTATGCAATGTTTATATTTATGTAATGTATCGTGCCAGTGCAATGTAAAACAAACTTCTCTGTTAGTTCAGACAATAAAGTATTTTGTATCTAGAATTCTAGAACTGGTATTATCATATGACATGCAAGGTTTACCTTGAATCCCTATTAAAGTGGCACAACTGAAAAACAAAATTAGTATGATTACTTTAAGAGGAATGTGTCCCCTGAATAGTGATGGGTACCGTAAGAGCGTAATAGGGGTGACTCCCTTAATAGGAGTGTCCTAAAAGAGGAGCCCTTAATAATTAACGGACTGGGGTTACAATCAGAGAAAATGTTGATACAATCGATGTGGTTTGGAAGTTCTCCATCTCCGTTAATCAGAAGTATACCGTAACCTTCAATTCACACAGCGCCTACATTTGTTGACAGTTTTCCATCAAAAAACACTGATCATCGATCATCGATTTAAATACGATGACCTAGATGCATTTAATTATTACCCGATTAAGCATAAAGCGTGTCCTCGCCAAAGTAATAATGTTCTGTTGTAAATTTGTCTAGCACTTTTTGTCATGAAATCTACTTTTTCAGTGCGGTGTCAGTTAGATGTTCCATCGATCAAACGGAACGATATTAAGAATAAAATAATAATTGATGAGAGTTAGGAGGTACGGTAAATTGCATGACATTAGTATTGTCATGATGGTGATAACAAACACCATTATGTAGGCCTATGTATAGCTACTTCAAAGACATTTCCTTTATTACCTTCGCCAGGAGATCTTGTCTGTCTGTCTGTCTGTCTGTCGGCCTGCCTGTCTGTTAGCAACGTTCCACGAAAACTAAGGAAATTGATCAGCATAAAATAGATTGGAATGGTACATAATAATCAAAGACACTTTTGGAAAGAAAGGGTCAATGACAAAGTCAGGGTCACGAAAATTCGATTCTTCCTTTGAACTTAACCTCGAGCATAAAAGAAAATAATGGAATCGCCCATACACGACCTGCGTATTAAGCCGGTTTTCCACTAGGCGAATTTATTCGCGCGAATCGAAAGCGTCGGTTCATACGCATACACATTCACATTTCTATCGGGTTTTTGCGAAGCGAAAAAACGCAACCAATCAGGTCTCAGAAAATGTACTGCAAAAACTTTGATACACGTTTGATTACGTATTAGCACTCAGGCATTTCTTGTTTTTACTTATTCATCAAATCAATATACCGGTAAATAGTTAATTACACCAGCGTGTTTTCCAGTACATTAGTTTAACTGGATTCCCGAAAGTTCTTAATGTCCGCTGAGAACGATAGTTGCTGATCTCCTGGAAAAACTGGGCGAAAGTAGTTCCGGTGGGGGAGATACAGACGACATTGGCAAAATAAAATCAAATGATTGATGAAAAACATCAAATCTCAATCGCAAGAAATATGATTTAGCTGAACTGTTAGAAACTTGGTTAATCAAAAAAAAAAAAAAAGAAAAGAAAAGAAAAACGTCCTCAAACAGGCTTGCGGGAGTCCAGGTAGGCATTTCCATGGAAACCTCAGAGAATAATCTAAAGATCGTCACCTTTTACATTTGCATACTGTCAACACCAAATTCCCAGAAAAGTTCAAATAGGCCAAATTGTCATAAAACTGGAAATAAAACAATGTCTGTTGCACTTCGCGTGGTAGTATCTGCAAATAGATCCAGTTTGAAGGGGTAATAAAGAAAGTTCTGTAATAATATCACAAACAATTTTTTTTCTTTTAATAAGAAACTTTATTTGAATAATAATATTGACATTGAGTCTTTGGCAAACTCCAAAGCCTCATTTCGGCTTGTCTGCAAACGAAACTGTTGTTTTATTATAATATTTGTTTACAGTAGATCATCTACAATGCAAGATAAACTTAACCAGTGAGTTATACAGCGGAATTGCACTACGGTATATGTATATGTATTTACACAAATTGACGACACTAAACTCGAATTTTATCCTTACACAGTAACTTAGAAAATATAGAGTATGTTATAAAAATGAAGGATCACGATCAAACTAAATGTAGCGATGCTTGGTAAAGATAAGTGTTCCATTGTGTCTGAATATTATCACTCAATTTATTGGAAATTTGTGCAATGCTGTATCACTAACTTTTATATTACGTTCTCACTGCCAGGAATTATAAACACTATTAGTATGTGGGAACTATAAGCAAGGGTGAAGCTTTACAATAGAATTTAAAATTCATTGGATACTTAAGAGGAATGAAACCGGAGCTAACATGTTTATCTAAATCAACATATAAAGGAAAAAACAAAAGGATCAAGTCAAGCACAAGAAGTATTCATTTAAAAAAAGAAGTTAACTTTTCCTCTGCAATGTACCAAATACCTGCTTAATTACCCCCATAATTGCGCTTTTTATCCCTCTTTTGTAAGCCTTGGAGCTCGAATTTAGAATAATAATCAACTTTGAGGCAAATAACTGCAACACAAAAGACGGCCATACCAAGCCTGCAGCTTTAGGTATTTTAACAATTATACTGTTTGTTTTAGAAAATAATAAAAAATATGCCTGAACAACAAGTGATTCGTGTTGCATAAAAACAATATACACATTTTGGAAACAGTAGTAATTTGAACTACGAACATTAAAACTTTGTATTATGGAGCTATCACTAAAATACAATGGTACTACAGTGCAGGATGAACATTGAAGTTTAGTAGCACAGTACAGTATTACTGGTAAAGTCTGCAATAAATTGCTTGAAAATTTTAACAGAAATTCTACGATAATTTCTGTCCCCAGAAAATGAGAAAAAATCATACACAATAATTTTTGAATTAACTTGCTCATTTTGCAGTAACATGCAAATTATGAACTTGTACATTATCCTAATTTTTATACTGGATAATGATGATAAAAACAATAAAACACTTCCACTAAGGGCACATAGAAAAAATTATTAGATTATCACTCTTTTAAAAAAATTAATCGATGAGGGAGGGCGGGTTTTTAAAAAATTTTTTAATCGAAACAATAGATTATTTCGCTTCTATTTTTATCGATGAAGGAGGAACTGTTCATATATTGGCTAGTAATAGCAAATATTGTCACAAAAATGCACTTATTTTTATGCTGTTGAAATAATTGATGCAGCAAAAATTTAAAAAAAAAATTCCCGCATTAATATTTCCCGAATTTTTGATGTGGGCGGGAGTGGTAATCTAATAAACTTTTCTATTTGCCTTTAACTGGAAGAGTTTCTATCATTTTTCGCTGTAAATTGTGGGTTAACATTTTTCAAATATAGACTACTAATTTTTGTGTAAGTTGATAATTTTTGTTACTTATTTCAAAATTAGCAAATTAATTTTTAAAATGACTTTTATGATATTGTTGGTATTTTGCATGGGACAATACACCTTTAATACAAATGTAGGTTGACATGAATACCTCCAAAACAAAGACAGATATTGTCTGGTTCAATCATGAAGCTACCTCTAGCAACTCCATAGTTTTACCAGCATGACCAGTAACACTTTCTCTGAAAGTACAGTAAAACCATTCTCAATAATGATCAATATGCAAGTGTATAAAATAATTTGTAGTAAAATATATCCAATTTATTGAATTAAGGTATAATTAATTTATCAGTACAAATATAAGTAAAAATGTTTTATTTATACTTTCTTATCGTTGGTAACAAATTCAAGGTGAATCTGAATGTTCAATTTATCAAGCTCTTGTTTTTGGAAATGTATCCATTCTTATCGTATCACATGAAACATTTTAACACTTTGTTTACACAAACTAAATTTAAATAAAAATAAAAAAAATATGCAGCAATGCAGTCTCTAATACTAGCACATATAAATAGCTAAGCTATATACCATAGTAATCTATAAGCATACTCAAAGCAAGACATCTTCTGCTCTATATAAGCTCTATGTAATGTATAGAACTTGTCTTCAACTGCTAAAAAATAGATTATATTTTTTAGCAGTTGAAGAAAAGTATATAACTTGTCTTCAACTGCTAAAAAAATAGAATTTAAATTTAGTAGAGCACCAAATTTTAAGAACATCAACATAATGAATGTATCAGTAAGTGAAACACTTGATGCCAAGATACAGTTCGCCCTCCAATTCGAGACGACCTTCAGGACCAGAAAATTTGGGGTGTCTCAAGGTTCAGGCTCCACATAGAGGGTGAGTTTGTTGCTAATAGATTGAAGATTGTCACTTGGTTCATTGAAAAAGTGGTCTCCAACAGTGACGTATCCAAGGGAAACACACTCTCACCAGTCAACTCCCCAAAAATCAGTCAAGTACTGTAGTTAAAAATCACCTCAAATATCACCTTATTTTGCAAGTTAGTGCACCCTCACCTAACCATCTAGGCCCCCCCACTTCACCTTCACAAACTCATCAGCCCCCCCACCCATTTCAAGACTCCCAAATACGCCACTCATCTCGAACTAGAGGGTGCACTGTACCTAGTAGGAATATACAGTAGCATTTCAAGGATAGTTGCTTTATAACAATGCCAAGCTGTTTTTTGAAGACATGACTTATAAAAAAATATCTTTCATCTGATTTTCATCGATACATTATCGTCATGATTGTCAAAATTTGGTGCTCATTTTCTACAATCTTACTATAAGAAATAATCGTTGTTTTATCTACTACTGAATTAGCACAACAATCAGATAAAAAATACTAATATTATTGATTTGGCAAAAATCATCGTTGATCCATCAAATTAAATTACATAAAATACAAAAAAAAAAGGAACAGTGACACTATATATAATTTCGAGAAAAAAAATATACATAAATCACAATGGTTCTGCATGCTGAAGAAAAGCACACTTTTCAGATGGTTAATATGGTTGGAAGCATGACTGGTAAAATATTATCATACAGTTCGAAAAATAACACGTTTGGAGGTAACTACTTCTTAGTATAAGTTTTTCTTAAAGTACAGATATGAAAATAACCATATTATATTTCTTTACATAGTAATAAATAAAAATGAAGTATGTAAGAGACAGGTTCAATAAAGCATTCAATAAGTTCATTTTACAACCACCAATACAGACCTATATACTTTAATCTATTTAAATACTACTTAATGCTTATAATTTAGTTTGTTGAAAAGTATAAAGGATTCCAAGTGCTGAATTACTGTGTTATCTTTTTTTAATGAACAATATGTCCATGAGGTAAGGTGCAATTTAATTGTACTTAAAGTAAAATGTTTTTTTACATAATTACACTTCAGTGAAATATTCTACTTAAGTTAATTTAAACAAGCATACGTATTTGAATTAGCATACGTATTTGAATTAGCATAAGTTAATTGTATTTAATGAAAGTAAAGTACAATTGTCCTAAGTACAATTTAAAGGGTAAATGGTAAAATGGCTTGCCATAGTCCCACTTTGTATTATACTAAGTTCAATAAGATCTTCCATCTGGCTCATATGTGACCTATAACCTCTCACATGTTATTTACCAGTACTGTACTTGAGGTACAACTGATGGCCAGCTTAAAAAATGCATATGTATTATGTACAGATAATTGTAAAGCATGGTCATCTACATACATCTTTTGACATACAGAATTTTCAGATATATCATTTTCTGTATCCATCGAAATTTATAAAGAATCCACAGAATCATCGTTACACTTCAAAAAATTTAGACTTTCCTTTCAAAAAACATCATTCCTCTGAACTATCACAAAATATAGTGCTATGGTAGCCTTTGATTAAGTGATAGTAGACAATCCTATTGTGTTTATATCAGGCTGTATTCAACAAAAGTGGATTAATAACTTTTGAATACAAATCATACAGCCATGATGAGAGGCTAAAGTTATGTTAAAGGTTAATCTTGTTGTAAATTAATGTGAGGACAGAGGACAGTAGCCTACAAAATATTCCTGGCAATCATCCAAGTAACTTGTGAACTTCTCACTTACATCGCACTTGGAATTATGGGATTATATACGCATTGGCTCTGGGAGAGTGACTGCAACGATAAACTATATAATACATTATGGCTATTTATTAGTTATTATTGTTCAAGTTGTATAGATACCAATTACTGTACAAAAAATAGAGATGAACCAATTTCTTGAATAACTTCCAGCCTAGAGTTCTGGGTGAATGAAATACTGAGAATTTTTGATAGACCAATGTTTAGGGGAACAAACTAATAGAAATAATTTACTGTATTTAAATTCTGAATACTATTTGTCTGAAGTTGCAGTACAGACAGGAAAACAATATGTTGTGATCACAATACCTTGCAAAGAAGCATATTTCTGAACACTGAAATCACATTTTTGACCATAGTTAGCCCATCTGCCTTTCATATTTTATCAAAAAATAATTGGTTTAACAATTTTTCCCCTCTTTTATTTAATTTTCAGTAGAAACTGAACAACTATCAGGAAAAATATTGTAATATTCATAAAATTACAGACAAATTAGAGGGTTGGAAAGTGCTTTTCTCTGGGTAGATTTTCTAAGCTTGAACCCCAAACTTTTATTAGAATTAGAATTTTGAGTAGAAAAAAAAATGTTCTTCTGTTGGTACAGTATTGGTATTCATTACACCCTACTTTGGTTGTGTTTATAGAAGACAGGCAAGTTGATAGTGACCCCACTTTCACCTCCATCAGAACAAAGCAGAGGTCAATGTGTGCAACCTTTTGAATAAATCAATTGGAGAAACTAACCTTTAAACTTCTCTATGTAGTTTTAATTTACCACCAACCAGCAGTAACATTTCAGGTATTTCTTTTAATAACAGATGTTATTAATTGTAGTTTAAATATTTCCAACCACTTGGATAGGATTCAACAAATTTATATAAAACCATATAAATCCATCTAAAATAAAAGATGGAATGGATTGGAATGGTGACTGTGGTTTTGTTCAGTATACCACCGGTCGATGACCATGCTTTACGCCCTGAATCAATCTTCAGCTACATTCTCTTAATAAGAATTGTGTTCAAATTACCTCATTGGTTCAGTTACCTCATAATGACAGATGAATGCTTTTTTTCTTTCTGTTATTCTCCAAACCATGGTATTTTAAATAATAACAATTAAACTAGTATAGCACATATCTATATACAGTCTCAATGTACTTTTCAACAACATAAACAATATTTAAAATATATGTATTTTTAATTAAATTTATTTAATTCTTTACAATACTTGGCAACAAAAACATTTTAAAAGGTTGGAGGGGTTGGAATAGACTGGAATGTTGCATTGTATGATGGGAAAATGTTGTAGATGATGTATGGTCAATCTTTGTGGATGATGTATCGGTATATCTGATGTTTAGTAGAGCATCCATATTGAAATAGACAAGAGCAGTTGACGTAAAAGCATATAGAGAAAAAGTTTTTAAAAAAATACACGATGGGAATATTTTTGTCTGCAAATTGGAATGGCAACAAAGGTTATTTTACACCGACAATATTAAATATTGACCAAGCTCTAAATTGGCAACTAGAGGAAGTTTGAGGATACTCTCTGTTTGCTGAGAAATATGAACAGGAGTATGTGCATCACCACAGCAGGTTGCTATTGTACAGCCTTTGTTCAGAGGGGCTTTAGGTCCTGGATAAGGCTTCTATTTCAATCTGATCCTTTGCCTGGGGCTAAGACTACCTATCAGTGATCAGTGCTTAGTCTGCGCAATAGGTGCTAGCCACACACCTATGCTATTATGTTGTAAGTTTTACAGAAATTATTCTGGTGTAGAGAAATGCAACTCTCAGTGTTACTTTCTTCCTATACCTGTTTATTATTTTGAAGAATATATAGTTAAGGGGTAAACAACCTCATAAATATCTATTATTGATAACCCTACCCACGTCATCGCTATCATCTGAATGCTTTCAAATCACAGAGGATCCAAATTGGCAATTATCTACATAAGAAACAAACTGTTTATTCCTAAGTGCATTTGATGGACTTGCATTAGGCATATTTGAGCCAAGTTTTTGACTCGCATGGTAAATGGGTTGAGGACAATTAACATAATTTTAACATATCCTCTAGATATCCACTCCCCCTCTCAATAGGCCAATAAAAAATGTTAATTTTCTTGAAAAGATGGTTAAGGAAGAGTATCCATTTTTACTCGCAAGAGTAAAAAACATTACGGCACATTAGAAGGCGGGGTTCCGAATATGAAAAAGATGGTCTCAAAATTACAAAACTTTTGTACTTTTTTAGCTCTTGAATTTGATGAAACAATTGAATTTTGGAATTTTAAGTTGAAATCCTTCAATTCCACCTGCTCTCAGGGTACTGTTTGACAAATTCAATCCCACAATACAGTCGCAAACATCGCAAAGAATACTGTTTGATCATTCAAGAACGACCACCTTACCCATATTTCATTTTTAAACACTTGAATTGATTTCCACGTTTTGGGATATGAAATGATTCCAAAATGCAAGATACTGTAGTCTAGGTATGGTATATAATGTAGTTCAAAGTTGTGCTTTCTATTACTTGTTATGTATAGACTTGTATTTCTGAAATAGATTGATTGATTGGAGTTTCATGGAGGTCCTTTTCATCCTCATTTAAATTTTTTACTTTAAGTGCTTCATCTTTTTGTATTTGGATGCTTGTATGAATAAAGATATAAATTGTATTGGTTGAATGGTATTGATTGATTGATTGGTTGATTGATTGGCAGACTGACTGACTGATGAACTGAGTGATTGATTACCATTCCATCCAGCCATCCCACTCACTCCCTTAAGGTCCTACATGACCTTTCTGTAAAAAGTTTATAATTAAAAAAGCAAACTATATGAACCATTCTCTAGTTAATCGATGACGGTTTAGAACCTAAAGGTGATTATTTATGTGGGTGAATTTGGCATAGAAAATACTTTTCAATTACTATAATCCAACAGAGGGCTGCAATATTCACCCTTTGAGCATTGGATATCATAAGAACCATATTGCCAAACCATCCTTGATTGAAAGAGCAGATACCATAGAAGCCAACCAACCTTTTTTTTTTCATGAGTTTCAGAATTTTTTTTACAACTAATATGAAGCTGTGGATATACAAATACAACATGGATTGAGGTGAAGTACTTTACTGAGGTGTTAGATAACTGGGACTACCGGTACCTCCCTCCGCAAACAATCCTCAAATGATTGTTTGCATACATGTAAATCTGGCCCCCGCATACATGTAAATCTGGCGCACGTCAAGTAGTACAAGGAGTACGGAATTTGGAAAAACTACCACACCATTTACCAGGTAGAATTGACCAATGAAAATATTTTTTTTATTTTATTTTCTTATTTTCCTCGCATCCAATATTAAGTACACTCGCCGCTTACAGGATGGAACGATGCTTTATAGACAAAGTTTTTTTTTTATTGAGGCCTAGGGAGTGGAGTTGTTTTGAGTAGTGAGAATAAGTCCTGGTGTGAGAAGAATTGAACCCAAGACCCTGGGATTATAAGGCAAGCATCTTAACCACTTAGCTATTTCAAATCCACTCCTGTTCAAAGAATTTCATCTGGTTTCAGTGTTTTTACAGAAAAGAAATCAATAACTTCCATTCCTGTTGTTATTATACAATTAATATTTTTGAGGTATATTATATTTTTTAGAGCCCCATTGATTTTTAACAAAAATTGATAGGCCACTACCGTTTCTTTTACTCAATCAAACTTATGTCAATCATCCACATTGCCTGCTTCCTCTAGCATTATTCCAATGGTTTTTACAAAAAATAAATCAATAATATTTTTGAGGTATAGTAATTTATAATTGTATAAATTGAATTGCATTTTTACCCCACAGCTTTTTACACTTTTAAATAAATTAGAAAATACCAAGGTGCTTAATGGAATTCTAATGGTTTAGAAAACAAGGTTTAGCATCAAGTTGTCAATTAACTTCTACAAGTTAGAATTGTATATCAGTTGTTGCATACAGTACACTAACACAAAATGTGTTCAAAATAAATTTCTCGGTTGATTGAATCAAACGATACATAGCAAAAGGTACAATCAATCAACTGTCCAATGCATTTTACAAATTCAATACATTTTGCAAATTAACAAACATATAGGCCTACACATGAGTTTATGTTGTTTTCAAGCTTGTGGGATGTCGAATGAACAATGAATGCACTGTAAGATGCAGAACCATTTAAAATGTTACTATATTTTAGATCATAGCTCAATTATTATTCTAAATATAACAACATTTCCCAATGAATACTCAAATTGTGATTTGTCAGTTTCTGCATATCTCTTTGTGCTCTTAAGTTAATATTTTCCCATTAAATCATGAATAACCATATACCAAATATACATGGCACACATACACAATACAAATGTAATGATGACAATGGAATTGAGTGAAGAGATCCAGTATCAGTGGCCACTGTACAATATAAAAAATTAAATCAAATATTTGGTTTTTTTTAATGCTCAACAAAAATAAATTTTGTTTAAATATATATGAGCGTAACCAGTGATACTCATTTTCAGGTTAACCTCCTAAATTCCAACCCCCCCCCCTCTCCCACTGTTGGTATGACATTCAGAAATTTATGAAATTAGCACATATTTTTTTTCACACGTGCATGCCTTAGCAATGACACATAAATAAGTTTTATACCAAGGGATTACAGGATCAATAAGGAGGCCATTCAATTTTAACAAAATCCTCCAAGCTTGCCATTACCATTTCTTTTACTCCATCAAAATTATGTCATCCACGTTTGCCGGCTTCCTCTTGCCAGTCCCATGGGTTCACATTACTATTTATAGAGAGCCGACATTTATTAACCTGTCACATCTCAATTTGTCCATGATCTTATTGTAATTTTCGCATAAAATTTCCATATGTTATAACTTGTATTTGTTCTCCTTACCCTCCCTAGCTACCTCTTGTGGATCACGAAGGCTTGTTTTGCTCTCCAGTCCATCCAATTCCTGCGCCGGTATACGCCTCTTGGCAGACCGACCTGATAACCGTGATCGCGTGGATTTATTTGATTGTGTAGAATGCGTTGACTTGGAGCTCCTGCTACGCGTTGATGTTCGTTTCAGCCAGTTCTGACTGATAGATCGGTGTAAATTCTTCAGGCTAGACTGTCCGGCATTTGTGACAATCCATGGGTGTTTCAGCGCTTGGGCACATGTCATACGTTCAGCTGGATTTGTACGCAACAGTTTATCGATGAAATCCTTTGCAGCAGCGGAGACATCTTTCCATGGCTGATAAGAAAAGAGAAACAAGAAAGTTAACACATCTGCTAATAAAATTTCATTATTCTATGACATCATTGTTGCTATAGGCAACACAGCACTCATTTCCACTGCAAATTATTACCATAATCATACAGTATCAATGATGAGTCTTTGTAGTGATGTTTGTAATATACATAAAACTTGATAAAGTAATTCTGATCAATATTATAAACAATTCATTGCCAACATTACATAACTCTCATAAGAAAAGAGAAACAAGAAAGTTAACACATCTGCTAATAAAATTTCATTATTCTATGACATCATTGTTGCTATAGGCAACACAGCACTCATTTCCACTGCAAATTATTACCATAATCATACAGTATCAATGATGAGTCTTTGTAGTCATGTTTATAATATACATAAAACTTGATAAAGTAATTCTGATCAATATTATAAACAATTCTATACGACCCAAAAAAATCAATAACATTATAACAGAAAAATTTATGGGGAAAAATATAAAAAGTAAATTCAACAAAAGCAATGCAAAGGTTTATGTACTCCGGCATATTGACATACAGACTCTTACTGTAGGCTTACGAAAAAAAAAAAAGAACTTTTTAGTATCACATACTGAATGACGCAAATGTTAACAAATTAAATGTCAACAGATTAAATAATTCACAGATAGTTAATAGCAGCTGTTTGTTGTCTACTTTTTGTATCTCATTACGTAGTAAGTATACGGCATATGTATACATAACATATTCGTAGAGTCGTGATTTATCATGACTTATCGCGACAAGACCCAATTCAATCTTAAAGTAAAGTACATTCAGTGCGTTAGTTGTAAACAAATTCAGTATGAAAAAAGGTCCTATCACCATACAACCTGTTACATACAGCTGTAGCAGTATACACACAGGCTGAGAAGAAAGCAACAGAAACACCAAGCTGTTACTAACAATAGACCTGTGATGGAGAAACCTGATTAAAAACGTAAAGTAAATGCATTCAACAATCTTATACTGTAACATGCATTAATGCTGCACATTTATACTGTCCTCCTTTTGCAACAGTTTTACTAAGATAACAAACAAACCTTAAAAAAATACAACAAAAGACAACATTTTTAAATTATTTTTTAATTTTTTTTAAATTAAAATTTGTGTTTGCCAATAAATCAAACTCAAACTTGTAATTTAGTTTAAGTTTACTGTAGTCCAAAGAATATGATCTGCCAATATCATAAAACACACACACACAAAAATACATACAAAATTCAAGTAAAACATTAACTCGCTCACTTGAATATGATACAATAAATTATTAACTTCCTATGACAAACTGGTTGAAGTAATAAGGTTTTTTCGCTAAATTAATAAATCACAGACCTTTTACAAAAAAAACTGTTTTTTTAGACTATTAATTAAAGATATTCATTTGGGAATATAACGCTATGATATAGACTGATACATTCAATGCCACATCATCCTACCAGGTACCCATTTATACTCCTGGGTTGAGATACACCAATATAGGGGTGAAGTGCCTTGCTCAAGGACATGCATGCAAAATTCATAGTGAAGGTCCGACCTGAAGGTTGACAGACCGATACGCAACCAATCTGCCTCAGATTTTTTTTTTGTTAATATAGACGCCACATTTAACTTCAAGTATGCCTATTCTTTTATTTTGCCTAACTTAGGTTGCTTAATTTGGTGGAGGTCTGAATTAAACTGTTTATATTTTCTACCTATTTTGTCATTCAAGGCCTTATATAGAAGAGCACTCCCTATTGGCAGTACAAGCTTTTCCATGAATAACATGATTTCATGGAGGTGTGATTTTGAAGGCTGATGGTCATTATCTATTTAAATCCAGAAAAGGGAAATTCGAAGTTTTGGCTAGACTAACACAATACAGTGTTTTGGTCAAATGATTGTGATCTAATTTCACATTAACAATACACAGAAACAGGAGGATAATGTTGAAAAGTTTCCACAAATTTGAGAGAAGATACTTAACATTTTACAATACTGGACCATCAGCAAATCATCTTATAGTAAAACATTCCTTTAGCATAAAAACAACAAAATCGCAAGACTACAGAATAGTAGAAAGTGTTATACTAAAATGAACATTTTATTAAATATAATAATGTAGTTTCTTCTGGTCCTCATTAACATTATCTTATACCTCATGTTGTCTTTTTTAAATCTTTTGTCCTTCACAACAATCATGTGTAAGCAAATCTGAAGGTCCTAATAGTGACATGTTATTGACGTGTTGACAGCCAACGAGATCAACATTTTGGGTATACAGTATATGTCAGGGGTGGCGCCAGGATTTGCCCTATGAGGGGGCCCTGATGCTCCCGATGAGGGGTCAGATGTCCCCAATGAAAGCAAAGTGGACGTGGTCTAACTTCGATTAAAAGGCTTTGAAAGTGGTCCAAGAGAGAAAGTGGCCCTGGGGTGTTTGTATTTCCTTTCTAATTTTATGATCCACTAGTGAAATCAGTGAAGCATCAATTTAACTTAAAGAGAAAATAAACAAATAAATAAATCCCACTAAATAGTAGGCCATCATTTACTGACGTGAAGTTTATAATAATTATTATATTAAATAATAAATAATTAATTACTAAGTAATTACAGTAATTACGTTACCCATCTGCTGACATATGTTTCTAAGTTGTTTACTTTGTAATGATTAAATAAATTTTATTGTTATTTAATAATACAGTTATGTTTTTAGTAGTTAAACTATTAGCCTAGTCAATTAATCAATCAATCAATCATTATGACTGTGCAATTGCAACAGACATATTGAGAATGAGATCATTATTTGCCACCAATCATATTGTATGTAGAGCCACCATATGAAAATTTAAAGTTTTATTACACCACACTCCCTATCATTTCAGAATTCACAAGAACTACCACCAGTGCCTCATGTTAAGCAAACTACCACTGGTGCCTCACTATCAATTCACAGGTCGACATCTAGCTAGGACACACTGAAATAGATAGCAACTGACCTGAATATTTTACCTATAATGTTTTGATAGATGTTGGCTTTCCCACTACAACAAGTAAAGTACTGTTCCTCCCCATACAAGCTTGGGTTGTAAAACCACCAGCATTTTGTTTTCTTTTTTATTTTAGTTCACGTACATGTCATGAAATTAGGAACTTTATAAATCTAGATATTATTATTTGGCATTTGAAATGTGGTACTGGAGGAAGATGCAGGGTATAAAATACACTGACCTGAAAAGCAATATAGAAGTCCTGAATGAAGTCAATGAAGAGAGTCAAATAGTAAAATATATAAATAAAACAACATCACAAACGGATTGGATATTCAATAAGATAGGATTGCCTTCCTAAAAATTGTATTAGAAGGTAGATATATAGAAAACAAAACCTAGAAGAAAGAGATATGCTTTCCTTGATAACACAAAGAAGGGAAACACATACAAATAGTTAAGACAGCGGCTTCAGATCGGAATAGATGGCGGGAGTAGTTGCTATGAACCTGCCAATTGGCAGACCACTGGAGGAGGATGATGATGATGAAACTGGGAGGGTACACTGTGCAGTATATGCGTAGTTTGTACTTATTCAAAAATAAAATACACATATTATTAAATACACATTAAATTAAATAGCACAATGCTAAAAGTCTGCTCTTATAATTCTGTGCTAAAATTAGATATGCTCAGATTCTATTAACAAATGTTAACAATTATTATTATTATTACTATTATTATTATCATTATTATTATCATTATTATTATTATTATTATTATTATATTTAGCCATCATTTGAAAATTATATCTGGCCATCTTAATGACGCAAGGTCTATTCGATAATTTGTGTCTTCACACCACATTAAATGTACTTTATCTTTACCTATTTCAATTTATAATAAAACTATCTCATGTTTTAAACATTATACAATCAAATGTGTGCATTGTCCCTCTGCACTTGTGTTCCTACTGTTAAAGGTCAGTCGGAGAGCTTCTATTCTAAACTTGCACAAAATATACTGTTTTGGCCTATAGGCCTATAAATAACTACAGTGTAGTCAAGTATCTTTCTGAAAACTTTAAAACTGTCATCAGAATTTGAGATTAAATATATCTTCTTATTCTAAATTACTTATACAATGATGACTACTGAGACGTCTTAAACTGTTACTAAAAAAGGGTTAAAGTGCTGCATGTCCATTTTAACTGAAAAGTTAATATGAGCTTACAATCGGATGGTACTATTAAGAGGTTATGTTAAAGTAGCACAGTTGAAAAGAACTCAGTCAACACCAAAATTAAGCAGATCGACCGCGGTAATGTGTGTTACAAGACCTGGAGTAGGGGCACGGGGAGCAATATAATATAAAAAAAAGGCATATATTAGAGAACAATGAGCTTCCCAGTGTGTTGCGGAGGAACACTACCAAGTTGAATTTACTTGATGGTGCTGTGACAGATATTCTTCATCAATTCACCTAGAATGCCTCACCATTGGTGGGCATACCACGTTCATTTTTCTCGCAACTGATTACAAATGCGAGGAGAAAGACAGCCACATATGATGTCCGACTGGGTACATGGTTACTCTGGAAAAGATTATAACACAGCCTCTGTCCAAACAGTTCCTGCTATGCAGTTTGCCAGGGAAAGAGGTCACACACTGTTGACCTCTTTATTCTTGTCTACCAGGAATTCTTGATGACCACTACAATATTAGTATTAAGTGGCAAAGTAGTTATTTTTTTTCCTGTTACATAACCCAACCCAAACTCACAGTTCCTTTTCCAAAACCAAAATATAATGCCCTAACTTTGACTGCTTATTGTGCATTTGTTATTCTTTAGATTTCAATAAGAAGAGACTATAAAGAAAGCTGTTGGAATTTGAATCTTAGCTTTCCAATATTTTTTAAGAACTTCAATAACATTTCCATACATACTGTACAGTAGGAAAGCCACTGGAAAAATAGTGTCGAATTTC